TGATCGAGGATTAATCCTGGACAGTTCGGCTGCAAAAAAAAAAAAAACGCGTATTTGTTTCTGCTAGAATCCGCGTTGGATTGCGGACTGGATTCGACCCCGTTCGTGCGACCGCGGACGTCTCGTGGAAGGCCTCGAGGCTCTCGCGACGAACGGCGAGAGGCTCTCGCGGGATAAAAGGAGGCACCTGCGCAGAGCTGTTTGCTTCTTGTCGTCTCTGAGTCTTTCGTTGAGTGAATCGATGCAAATTTTTAGTAAGAGAAAAATTACTTTTTTAATTATTATTTTGAATGGACCGCTAGAGTAAATTTAATCGCACGTCAGGCAATCTAGAAATATTCAACAGCAACCGAGAAAATGGCAAAAAAAAATACCCAGGGTGTCGGAACTAGAACGGAACGGAACTTTACGATAGTAACGGTTCCGCAACGATTCATGCGGTTCCTTTTTTTTGTTGCGGAATTCATTTCGGGGACACCTACGAAAATGTCACCGGCGATTCAACGGTGAATCACTGTTGATCCGTTGGTTTCAATTTCAACATGTTAAACTTTTCCTGTCGGGGAACGAAATCGGGAACGATATGGAATTCGTCTCAATCACGAATGAGAGAAGAGATAAGGCTCGCATTTCGCGCAAATGGCATCTGACGACCATCTTCCGACAGAGGAATCCAATGAGATTTTCAGGGGTATTCTTCGAGAATTTATGATCAGGACCACATAGCTGGAAAAAATTGATATCGTGTCTCCGAAACATTTGTCATGCCACATGTCATATGTGAAAGTCTCGTCATGTCAAGTGTAAGTAATATACGAGTCGAAAGCCCGTGAATAATATTCAACGATTGGAAAGCGTAGAATATTCGTGGCATCCAGGATCCCTGAAATAGGTCAAGGCCAAACTTTGCATTAAGCCTGGCCCGGTCTCACATGTTGTCATGGGAACTTCTCTGCGTGCTGATGCCGATAGCCGATACGACGACAATCCCCCGCTGGCGATGAGAATGACGAACGATGCTCGGTACTCCGACAAGAAATGTGAGTTTCGATGTGAAATCAAGCGAAGGAAAATGCTGCTAGTCCCAAATCCAGACCGTACAGAGATGGCGCCAGTGCATCGCGGTCGCGGTAAGATCGAATGTCGACATTTTTTACGGAGTAAAAACGAATTCCAAAAGAAAATCAAGGGTTTCGAATGACGTATCACACAGGAATTTTAGGTCCAAAAAGGTCTCGAAAGGTCATCCGGGTCAGGTGAAAGGTCAACACTGAAAATAGATTTCTGAAATTAGTTTGCACATCGATAAAAAAAAATTACTAATTGAATGTTGACGAAAGTCGGTTGAGAAACCTGGGAGGAGTTCACTGGACAAAATCCGGTCATCCAGACAGCTGCAGGTCTTTACATATGTAGTCTTTACATATGTAGATGTTGTGAGTCGTCAAAGTGTAAACCATATAAATTTTTCCAAAATTGTGAAATTAAAGGTATGCATTTCCCTTTTCCTTGAGCATCGATTAGCAGAGAAACCTCAACTTTGAATCCCGAATGAAAGCTCCAGTACCGGCCATGACATCAAAAAAAAAATAAAAATAATAAAATTTTGCCTGACGTCGTCCACCATGGAACTCGCGTCGGTGCCGGCAGGCAGTTCTGCTTCACAGGAAGGTATCAATGCATTTTCCCTCCATGCATCCATTCCCACGTGTCATATATTATTACTTTTATCTTTCGCATGTTTATTGAGGCGACATCAAGGATAATTTGAAATTATTTCGCGATATCAAGGTCACTCCATGACTCAAGTCTTTTCTGCTTTGCTCATCTCAGCCGACATCGTCTTTATTTCATGCCGAATTTTAAACCTTTTTTTCGAGCCAGGACGATCTAATTTTCTATGCGGAAGAAGCGAGAAAATGGTGAGACGTTTCCAGAAGGATTTCTGTCTGAAAGTTCTGAATAAACACAAGCCAGCATTGCGTTCTTCCCTGCTGCAAGAGGGAAAACAACGGTCGAATATATTAATGGAAGTTATCCATATATTTTTCAGCAATAAAGGTAACAAGAAATGCCAAAATGGAAAACAGATCAACACAATTCAGGTGAGAGAGAGGCACACCATCCGAATTCTGTGATATTTTTCCTGCGTCCAATTCCATCGCAACAACATCAGGCTTGAAATATTCTTTGCTGTGCCTCTTACATTATATGTTTTTAAAGTGATCTAACATTAAGTAATTCCCGATGGTCTGAGGTTGGTTGAAGGTGAATTAACGCGAGCGGAAAACTGTTTAGACAATTTCTCAAAACTCACTGAAACTCAGTAAATACATAACAATGTTTCATTTCGTAATTCCAAGAATACATAATAAATGTTTGACTCGGCTTAACTTAGTTGAATTGCTGTTCAAATATATTTCTATGTTGTCTTGAGCTTCTTTCCTCCGAGGTACTTGCACCGGTAGAAGTTCATGAAGAGAACAGTGAACGTGCCATACATAAAGAAAGTAGTAATGGAAGAGAAGAGAGTCAAATGGCAACTGTACCCAGAGAGGATGTGGAAACAGACGCAGGCTTGCAGAAAGATGGCGACGAAAAATTGGAAAATCTGGATGGAGGTCAAGAGCATGGCGTAAGACAATGGAATGTGCACGCCGACCGTCTTTAATGCATAATACAGGTACATGAGTGCATGCACTCCGACGTTCATGGTCGCATAATAGGAATAAGTGGCATCGCAGTTGTGAAGAGCGAACGAGGCGACGATGCACGCCATGGCATGATGATAATACTGAAGAAACGTGAGGCGCCTCTTGCGAAGGACGACGAAGAGGGTATCCCCCATCTCGACCGCCTTGGACACGGGGACCGTGTAGAGCCAGAAGTACCAGATCGGGTCGACATCCCTTTCCTCCCTGAAAGGGAATGCCTACGTCCATTCAAAGCGCCACAACATTTTTTGTCTCTCGCGAGAAATGCGGTCGGGTCCTCCGAAGCTGCGAGGCTGTGTTCGTTTTTCTCCATCTTTCTTTCCTGCCCTGATTTTGAAGTTTTAAACTTTTAATGCAATTAAATTTTACAAAATCTATATTCTACCATCAGCCAGAGAGCTCCAAGGTAGGAGGCATCAAAGATTATTTTAAAGGCTGCTTACCGATCGAAAACATTGATCAATCAGGGTTTGTGGGTGACAGCAACTCACGAGTGGCCTCAGAGAAATGTAAAAGATGATCCAAGGTTTTCCTCTCACACTTCACACCATTATCCGAATGGCCAGGGTAATGTTCCTTGGATCGTTTCATCGATACTCGAGATCAGTAATGAACGCCAAGGGATATTGGGGGGGGGGGGGAAATCTTCGTCCACATGATGGTCTTTCCGCATTGAATGAGGATTGGGAAGCATTTTCGATTGACTGTTCATGTATAATTCACATAATTGGTCTGCCTGGCGTTAGTGCCGAAAAACAATGGAACGGCTGTACTATTAATATTTTGATTTTAGCCATGGCAGCAATAATATCATAATAAAGTCTCTCTGCTCGAAATTTATCACGTTTTCATCGTTTCATCGTTGGGACTGATACGAGCCGAAGGGCTGGATTGCAAAGGTTTACATAGGTTATTCCGTTTCTCCACCTAACAAATGTCCGAGTGGATCTACTGCCCAATTTTTTTCTGGCTTCAGCGGAATGATCTTTACGAACACCTCGAGCCTCTTCGGCAAGGACTTACTTGGGTGCACAGGTGTTTGACCAGAACCCATCGCGTCTGACCGAGTGGAAAGTGCCAGAGGCGAGGCGGACGCAGCAGACGAGGCTGTAAATCGCGAGCCCGACGTTCCAGAGCAGGAGCGGCTTCCGCAGCTCCAGCGCCTTTCTCCGCTTCATGAGGGAGATCAGGAGCGGCACGGAGGTCAGGTAGACGGCGACGATGCCCGCGAAGAGTCGCATGTATTTCGGCCCGGAGACCCAATCGCCCTGCACGTTGCCGAGGAGGGAATTCCCGACGTCAAGTTCCAAACCGGACGCAAGGGGATGATGCCAGGTGTCTCGTCCCTGATCGCTGCAGTTGCTGAGGATCCCAGCTGAGGCCATTTCTTCGGATGGGGAGCCTTCTCGCCTGGGGAATTTCTGCCAGAATATAAGGCAAGTGATCAACCGCTCCCCCCCAATTCATCATAAATTAATTAATTTTATTTAATGGTATAATGAATCGAAAAATCGTCGCGAGGCAAATTTGAAATTTGCATTCAAATGTTCGATTTTAATCAATTGCTTCCCAATCATCTCCTAAAATTAGCCAAAGTGATCACACTTCGGAATATTTCGATTTCCTTTCCAATGCCCATCCACGTGATCCCAGGAATGTCTTCATCGAGAATATTTCGTTCCTGGACGCGGAACTTATTTTGGGGATGAGATCATGCAAATACCCGATCGTCGGTTATATATAGACCGGAGAGCCCCTATGAAATGCGTCCCCGGAACGGGCCGATGCATATTTCGCGAAAATTCAACCGAAGTTGGATTGCAAAAAATTCTGCGGTCGAAATTGCAAAGTTTTTCAATTATGTCAATGGCTGACGCGGGAAATTTAACCGCTTTAAACGTGGTAAACTTCGATATTTTTTTTTCTTTAAATGACTGAGACCCTTTGTGCGTCTGTATTCGATGCCTCGTTTACCGTTACATTTGCAATTTTGGAAAACCCTTTAAATGGCTTCTTCCCACATCACAATACCATATTATAAAGGAGGAAAAATTTAATATCGTCGATAATAATTCAGGTCTGAATGGGCTAAGTGTCCTCAAATGTCGCAAATAAAAAAAAAAGAGGAGAACCGGATTACCGTTACAGTTACCAGTTCCACCGTTACCGTTACCAGTTGAACCATCCTATGCTGGCTGATGCTCAATTGAATTCCTATGGTTTAAAATTCAAGGTAAGCGAACCGACAAGTTTTTTCATCAGTCTTAAAATTTCACTCACCTGGAACTCGAGAGACGCCGAGAAGCAATCAGCTTTGTGCGGACGAAATTTCTTCCAAGCCTTTTTATACTGCCAAGAAGACCCAAGAAGCGGAAGCGCTCGAGGCGATCGAGGAACAAGAGAACGCTCCCATTGTCCGGGGTGACCTCCAGGCTATTCATCGGGGTGACATTGACGCTTTGGGAACATTCGGGTACTCCTTCGAGGTCTTCTGCATCACAAAGGGGCATGTCGGTGCAGGAAACCAGTCTGGCGTTCTCATGTGATCTAACAGCAATCTACGCGCAATTTTTTTTTTCCGCTGACTGTTCAGAATTAGCATCTGCAGATCCTTGAGACAGGAGGATCGGGGTCCTCGCAACCATGCGATTGGCGCGTTCCTGTTCATCATTCCTGTTCATTCCTGTTCACCGTTCTTGTTCGTCGTTCCTGTTCAATCAGTCCTGTTCCCAGGGAGACTTGAAGGTTTGGGGGACAAGGAAATGAAAAGATTTTGAGCTATTTCTGACCGCACCCGTTTCGGACTGTCGCAGCTTGCGCAAAGTCTTGAGTCCGTCATTGAACTTGATCCCTTGCCGATTCTCTGAGGTCGATGAGGTCCTATTTGAGGCATTCGAGCATTCTTCGCCCTCGACTCTCTCCGTTCTGGGAATTCTATCCGGACTTCGGGTCGGGGGCCTTCGGGACGGCCAGTCGCGCTCGGGTTTAATTTATGGGATTTTTGTGAATTTTAACCCCGGGTGTGACCATTTTTATGTATTAAATACATAAAAATGGTATTTCGGGGTTTATTTAGCTTTCGATACGATACAGATAAACGGTCACTTGACCACTGATTTCCCAGGCGTCTCCCAGGGTAGTGAGAATTCTTATTGCTCCAATTTCTGCGATTCGAGCGATTTCAACCTGGAATCACTTGTAATTAGGGCTGTGCCGATGCATCGGCAACGATATCGGTATCGGTCGCCAGTGTTGCACGATCGGGGTCATCGGCAGGGTTGCAAGCTGCCGATGCCAAGTTCTCGCGGTGATGCGCAGGTAAATTTTGCACGATTTGCCGCCGGATGCGAGAAGAAGCCATCCAGAAGCCAGGGACCGATCTTCAAAGGTCAAAGATCGAAATAAAGGGCAAGGACAAGGAAGGATGGGCCACACCAGACAGGTGATTCCCCCTCCCCACGAAAATGCCCCTTCCCGGTCTAATCAGGGGGGCACGGTCCCTTTCGTCGGGGAGTAATAAAATTTTCTCTTTGTGGATCTTTCCCTCGCAAGCCGACGGGGAATGAACTCCTCTCGGGGAGAAGAAAAACAACGGATTGGCTGCCCTAATTAAAGGAAAGGAGAAACGGACTCCTCGAGGCAAAATGAAGTCCGACATCCCGAGGACCTTCAATAATGAGCACACTTAGAGCTGCCCCTTAGAACCGCCTGAGATTCAAGCTGATTTTTTTTATCAGTTTCCGGAATGTGATGAAAATTCGTTTCACTGGCTTATTTTTTCACGTGCGCGATTTATTTTAATTTTTTTCAATACTAAATAAAAGCCTCAGATTTGGATTGACTGGGCGAATCAAACGGTCCAAAAAAAAGCTTCTGCTCAATCACGAGAAATGAAGAGAAAACTTCGCCTCGCGTCAAGAGAGAAGCTCCAAAAAATTTCTCTCTCGACTGGGTGCAAGATATCTCACAAATCTACGCACACGCATGCACGTCAGGCACGGTGCACGACGAAGGCGTGAAGCCTGAGATGCTGTATTTTGAAGCCTGATCGCAAAACCCGCCGGGACAGTGATGAATTTCTTCCGTCATATTTTCCAACTTCAAACTTGCGCCTATCGAGGAGCAGGAGGCGCAATTATGTCGTCGTAAAGCCATGATGGATGGATTTTTTTATTATTTAAAGCTGCGCAGTTCGCGTCCGAATGGCTTCTCCATGAAGTTCATGGATAAGCCATGCCTTCTAGAAGTCTTCGATTTTTGGCCTTCTCGAAGAATCGTGCTCGTCGATGAGACCGGCCCTCCTGCCGCCATAAACCCCCACCTTAAATTGGGAAATGCTGGTGCCTCCCTGCCAGCAATGGAAATCTCCCCCCTTCCCCCCCCCCCCCTCTTCCCCACGAACGGGCGGTGCTTCTCGGGATTTGGATAACACTGTGAAATGATGGAGGTCTTCCCTTCGCCCTCCAGTCGGCTCCCCCGCAAAGACTCGCCGCCGTTCAGCGAGAGGCTTGTTTCGTGGGAGGAGTCTGAGCGAGCCGTCATTAAGTTTTCAAGGAGGTTGGAGTGCGTCTGAGGATTGGCTATTCCGACGCTTTTTTTTTTTCCTCCCGCCTGTTTTTGAAAGGCATGTGATAGAAAAAAATGCGATTCCGACGAAATCTTTGATTGAGAATAAGAGATTAAAATCACAGCTCTTACATACGAAACGTTCGCCGGCGGAAACGCCAGAGGAATGTTAAATGCCGAACTTGATCGTTTCAACACGAAAAAGCGCATTTCAATGTGAGAAAAAAAAAGTCGCTCGCATACGTCCGCCTCCGATTGTTCTCTCTCCCTGAAGTTTCGCGGACTGCGAAGAGGCCAGACATCGCGCAGGAATCGGATTAGAAAGGGGGAATCGAAATGGATCGACCGTGAAGGCGAGGAGAGATCTCAGGGTGGAAGGAGATTATGCGTTCCATAAAGGGCTTTCAAGGATTCCCATCAAGTGGGCCTTTTTAATGCCCTCTCTGTAATCCCCTGGTCGAGTGATTCACCCATAACCCCTCTCAAAGGATTTTCCCGGCCTAGCCAAATATTCCGTGGAATGAGTGGATCGTTCAGGCTTCTTCTATCGAACAGACGAGGACGCACAATGAGGATGTAAAGTGGGAAAAACGTGTCCGAACAACCGTTCTGGGATTGGCAATAGCAATTCTTACTGTCAATCCCTTTCCTTTGCTCGTTGCACCAAGTACCCATAAAGTCTGATGAAGACGCTCCATGCGAGTCGACAGTCCATCCTCGGTCTATCCTCGGTCTATTCTGTCTATCCTTAAACTCTTGGCGTGCAGTCACAATAATTTTCATAGATTTTCCGGCGTGGTTAGAATATCAATGCATGGAGAGATTTCAAGGAAGAAAGGAAGGCGATTTGGACAATCGACATTGATCGGACTGTCGACAAGCTCGGGCAACCGATGCTCCCTCCCCCCTGAGAAAGGGACCGACGTCTTTCATCTGGTTCATCTGGTCCACTGCGTCATTTGAGAAACTGTCCGGCAAGAATGAATGCAAGCGGATGGGGGGAGTTCGTCGTCCGCCGAGAAGGATGGAGGCCGCAGCAGTCCATGCTCCCCGCGTCGAGCGAGGTGTGTGCATACCCCCCCAAACCGGGTGCAAAGTACGCAGGTTACCCCCCGAGAACGCGTGCAAAGACGCGGGTCCTTCGATGCAAAGCAGGCCGGGAATCGGCGCTTCGTCTCTCGACGGCAGCGAAGCGAGACTCGAGCGTCTCCCGCTGAGACGTAATTAATCGTCTGGAGATGCAGTCACTCCGTATGTTTACACAAAGGTGCCTCTGCACGAACACGAGAAGGGAAGAAGAAGGAAATACTTTCAGCAGTCATTTCTGTTGATCTCCCGGGGGATGCTGCCGATGTTTTCTCCGGATATTATTTCATCCGTGTGAGTTGTGTATTCGCAATTTCGAGTCGTCTCATTTCTTCGTTGGGATGACAGCTTTTAATGATGCTGACTTCCTGGGAACGGATTTTCATGCGCGAATCGGTCCTAAAATATGCATATAAATATGCGCTTGAAATGCACAAATGTGCATGAAATATGCTCGTAAAATAAAAAAAATATATATATGCCTGAAACTGAGAAAATATGGATTTTAAAACCCGGAATGAATTCTTTGGAAGAGGAAAATACAGTGGACATTTCACATCGGCAAGCTCGACCTCCCCCGACAGAGATTGGCGGTGAAGTTAGGTGCCTGCTGGGTCTATTCTTGTCTGTCGGTTGGTGTATTCTTGTTGCGGCTGGTGACTCGTGGGAATCATTCGTTGTTGAACCGTAAAGAAAACGCGTTTTCTTGGAGAACTTTATTCGTTTGTTGGATGGAGGGCAAAAGATGTGTAAATATGCATACATATGCAAATATGCATATTTTTTTTAGAAAAACACCAAAATATGCATTTTCATTTTTTTTAAAGACCTCAATCGCTTCCTCTCCTCGTGATACATGCTCCTGTCTGGGCTGCAGAAAAAATAAGCACGCAGAAAAAGCCGTCTGTTCCCATCGTAGTGGGAAATTCCAGGACAGACGAGGAAGAACTCCGGAGTCTCGCGCGCTTCTCGGACCATGGCATACAAACTGTATTTAAGAGATGGAAATAAATTTTCTCGATGGGGAATTTTTCTTCGTGAGAGCAATGATTAGTGCTTATTTCAGAAATTTCATTTTCTTTTTCGAAATGCTCCAATATACAGTTTCGAGTTCATATTTCGCCCAAAACTCGAAATGTAGCACAACAAAAAAAGGTCAAACCCATCTGGAGGGCGTTTCACCACGACAGATATTACGTCACGCTCATTTAAATAATGCTAATAATGGCGAAAGGTGTTTGCTGTTTGCTGCAGCGAAGCATATTTGGCAGGAATCTGCCATTTCGCATTTCCACCCAGCTCACAGACGACGAAGCCGTCGCAACTCACCCGAAAGCGAGACAGACTCCCTTTCCGTCGCGAGCCATTCATGAATGCTCCTTCCCCGACGGAATGGATGGCTCATGAGCCTTCCATTCCATCGGGGATCACCTCCACGTCCTCCCGCCTCGACCCGCCTCGACCCGCCGAGTCTGAAAGTGCGTTTCCACAACGCATGCGCTCGAAAGCGTGACACCGCTTTTCACCAATGGGAAAATTTTAAATTTCCATTTACCGGGGTGATGGAGAAGTACAATGTTTCTCAAAAACGTTTACCATTTTGAATTGCCGTATCTTCTTTATTATAATGAGTGTTCACTTCAAACAAGAACAAAATCGCAGAGAAACTAAAAAATATTCGTCCTAGTGGAAAACATGTTCGAATTGAGTGCATCCAGCCGCCAAACAGTCTCGAAGACGTCGAGAGAAGTACTTGGCACTATTCAGTACTCGGAGCGCCCCGAACAGCCCGTCGAATCGTTCCCCTCATTTCTGCGAAGTCCTTCATTCTTGATGTATCCCCACAGGTAGAAGCCGA